TGATGTTGACAGGGTGCACTGCCTGTAGTGCGCTCAGCTGCACACTCAGTCAGGCCTTTTCCCAATATCACTGAATGCGTTTACATGCACTCAATAAACCAATCATAATCAGATTTCTGCAGTTATCTGATTATTTAAATGGTCAGGTAAACAGCATACTCTGATTTCTTAGATTGGGGAAAGGTCTAGAAATCCGATAAAGAAATCTGATAAAGAGGCTGGATTTTAGCTCAGTAATCAGATTTCTCAGTGCATGTAGACTCTTACTCTGATTTCTTTCGGATTTCTCAGTCTGTGCATGTGTGAAACAAACGGCAGTACCGGAAATAAGTGAGCAGCGTCGCCACGAGACGCAGCAAAACACTTTCAGAGCGATGCTGAAACAAAATACAATCTTGATGAAATAAAAAAAAATAAATAAATTCTTCATCTTCTAGAAGATGTATGCTCGTATTTCCAGGTAAAGTGACGTGTGTTAAATAAGCCACGGCATGAAGTTCGAGTTTTATGTTACGTTTATGTCACAACTTCTTCTGTAAGTTTATTGGCTGGTGGCAAAGCAGAAATCTGATTACTGTCTGACTTATGTAGACCCGGAGTGTTCCCATTATCTGATTACTCAAGTTACTGACAAAATCAGATTTTCTGCAGTTATCAGATCATTAAGTGCATGTAAACAAACTCACTGTGAGACAGTTCCAGATCTCAGAGCTCAAGCCAGGAGCTGCTCAGTAGGAGCCGGTGTCATTGTGACAGGGGTGTTTGTTAGGTGGTATCCTGCTGCAGCCCAGCAAACCAACCTTGTGAAGCCCTCGACTGGTTGAAAGAAGCCCCCGTTTGGGCAGATGCTATTTGGTCCTTCACATTAAAAGGCTTAACGTTAGGATTAGGGCTATGGTTATGCAGAGATGGGGACATGTTGGCTGACTTGCAAGACTAAATTTCAACCTGAGGAAAAACAAATATGGGCTAAAGAAAAAACAGAAAAACAAAAAACGATTTAATCAGCATCACCAACCTTCATACTTTTTCTATTTTGCACGTCAGTTTTGCTAGTTATGCACAATTTTCACTGCATTTTCATTCTTCTAAGCTTAAAGCAGCATCAGATTTGATACAGCTTCAAATAATGAACCTTCCATTATAGACAAATCTTGAGTCTAATAGACAAAATCAAGTGCTATATGCTGTAAGTACGATGTTTAAAGGAAAGAGGCAAAGCACCTGGTTGGTTAGCATGTACTAACCATCTACTAACCTTCTGCTAGCTTATTTGGCTGAAGTTGTCGGCTTATCTAGCTGAATTTTTAGTGTTACAACACCAGCTAGATTAGGTATTACACTAGCTAGCAAGCATACTTGCTATACAAATCACAGACTAACCACTTATTTCATGTTGTTTTGCTTTTTTCCTTCGAACATCATATTTGCTGCATGAGTGCTTCAGTTCTGTCCTTTAGACTGAAGGTTTTTTGTAATGAATGGCTCCTTATTTGAAGCCATGCCAAATCTGACAGTTTTAAGTAGATTTTACTTTTGGTACAATGGAGTGCCTGCAGCAGATAATAAGACTTAATTAAATTCTCTAAAATGCTTGAGCCTTGACTCGCATTTGTGGAAATGTCTAAGGTTAGGGTAGGGTTATTGAGTTATTGGTCTCAAGGAACTCAGACTTCTGCAGAACCTAATTAGTTTTGTTGGCCAAGGACCCCCTACTCTGACAGGAAAGAGCCATTTGACTTGACACAAAATGTTTTGGGTGACTTATAAGGTCAGGTGATTGTCAAGACAGTGCTACATCACAAAATAAAGGGTGAAACAAAGTGGCATGCTTTGATAAGCATGCAAAGAATCCTTCAAAGAAAAAATATTATAGAAATTTTACAGATGTGATGCTGTTAACTTTTCCAATACAGTGGCTATATCTTGTTCCAAAAGGGACACAGTAGATATCTTCTTCCACTAAAGCTCAGGCTTGGGGCTTGGTCTGCGGGGCTGCAGCTAGATGTCACTCCATTCAGCTAATCAAAGCTTCTTCTTTGCTGGGACTCCATAGACGGCAAGGCCTGTAGCAGTGCCTTTGGATGGATGTGAAGTGACTCGGTGAAATGAAGTCAAGCAGCCGTCTCTGTCTCCTTCTCTACCGCCAGATTTAGGAACAAAGGATTGCATTTGAAATGCTCAGCCCTATACATCATGCACGAGGATGGAAACAAGGGGGTTCGGAAATAAACACTGGCAGTTAAGAACCGGAGCGCTCAGAACCAGAGCTAATTACCAAGCGGCATGCCGTACACTCTCAAAAGCGCACTGGAGGTTCAGCTCCCTCAAAAGCCTCCCATTGTTTCAGATGGCACTGTCACAGCTCCCTGGCACGGCGGAGTTTGACTTTCGACGTGGATTTTGAGGCAAAGTTATTGTGACAGTTCTCCATCCGTTAGCGTCTTGTGCCTGTAATCAAGACGAGTGTGGCAGATGGAAGCTGTTGTTGTGTGCTGTTGTTCTAAAGGAGTGCAGCTCGTGTTCTCAGTCAGGATTACCCCGACTCTCTTTCTGTCTCTGTGCGTGTGGCTGTATGTGTGCGAACGAGGGAGAGAGAGGGAGAGGAGGAAAAGTAGAAGTTCTCTGGCTGCAGATCAGTGGAGCGGAGGCAGCCCTGATTCAAATGTGCCGTCAAAGACCCATGAAAGGAACATAGGTTGAATTGTGGCATTGGAATATTTATTCCCAAATGCAATGGCAATTACTGAGGATTGCATTTGAAATGCTGAGGTTTAGGAAGATGCATGTCGCCAAAGAGGGAGCTGAAACTGGCAGATGAGCTCGGAGCGTGTAAACGAGGAATCCAGCTTGAAATAAAGACTCTCATAAAAAATAACGGCACGGAAAGGGTTCCTTGCACAATACCGTAGAACCACTTTTGGTTTCCTAAAGAACCTTCCAGAGGATGAGCCATTTTTGCAAATGAGGTGTGAGGAGCCCTTTTTAAAGTTTAAAGAACCTCCACAGAATGTAAACGTTCTAGGAACAACTCTCAGATTGATATGGATCCTTTACATTTTATTCTTTAAACGGTTCTCCACACTCTCAGACCTCTTTTTTTAAGCATGATTATTTATGGCACCATAAGTAGTTCTTACCTAAAGAACCTTGCACAATACCATAGAACCACTTTTGGTTTCCTAAAGAGCCTTCCAGTGGATGAGACATTTTTTGCAAATGAGGTGTGAGGAGCCCTTTTCAAAGTTTAAAGAACCTCCACATAATGTAAACGTTCTAGGAACAAGCTTTACATTTTGTTCTTTAAACCTTTAAATGGTTCTCCACACTCATAGACCTCTCCTTTTTAAGAATGATTATTTATGGAACCATAAGTAGTTCTTTCCAAAAGAACCATTCAGTAGTTGAACAAGTTTTGCGAATGAGGTGGGAGTGTGAGGAACTTCTTTTTTTATTATTTGAAGAACCTCTACATATTGTAAAGTTCCAGGAATGACCCAGTACATTATGTGAAGGTTCTGTAAACAAACCTTCTAAACCTTCTAAACTATTAAACCTTGTAAATAGTTCTTCACATTCAAAAACCTGTTTTTCAAGGTACCTGGGTGCCAAAAATATTCTTTCTTGAAGAACCTTTCCTTTCAATGAATGGTCCTTTGGGGAACCATTTTGGAAATGTGATGTGTGAGTGAGAAGAACCTTTTTAAACTTTAAAGAACCTCCACATAATGTAAACTTCTAGGAACAACGCTTGAATTGATATAGAACCTTTGCATGTTATAATTTAAACCTTTAAATGATTGTCCACACTTACAAATCTCTTCTTTTAAAACATGAATATTTATGGAACCACAAGTAGTTCTTCCCTAAAGAACCTTTCAATAGATGAACCACTCTTGCAGATAAGGTGGGAGTGTGAGGAACTTTTTTAAAATTTAAAGAACCTCTACATAATGTAAAGTTCCAGGAACAACCCAGTACATTATGTGGAGGTTCTCTTAACCTTCAAATAGTTCTTCACACTTGGAAATCTGTTTTTCAAGGTACCTGGGTTCCAAAAATATTCTTCCCCGAAGAACCTTTCCTTTCAGTGGATGGTACTTTGGGGAACCATTTTGGAAATGTGAAGCGTGAGGGAGAAGAACCTTTTTAAAATTTAAAGAACCTCCACTTAATGTCTAGTTCTAAGAAGAACCCTTAAACTTTTATGATGTGAATGTTCTTTAAACCCTTTAATGATTCTTCACACTTGCAGATCTATTTTTCAAACTTGGTACTTTTGAGAACCAAAAGTAGTTTTTTTCCCCCAAAAGAACCTTTCTGTGGATGGTTCTTTGTAGAACCATTTTTGCAAGGGTTGAAAATCTCCACATAGTGAAAAGGTACGAGGAAGAACCATTAAATTTATATAAAACACATACATTATGTGACCTTGAAATGGTTCTTCATGCTCACAAATCTCTTTTTCAAACAAGGCTCTTTATAGAACCAAAATTAATTATGTAGTAATATTACTCAAAGAACCCTTTGTGGCATAAATAAGGAGGAAAAAAACAGGACCGAAGTTCAAAGTGGACACGTATCATTCCTGAAAGAAGGAGTTGTCCGTCATTTAGCTGGACAAACTGTTTTTCTGCATGCAGCCTTTGGTGATTCTGTCTCTGAGCTGCAGCACATCTGTGTGCATGTTGGTCTTTGTCACAGTATGGAATGTGTTGCTGTGGTTGTATTGAAAATGGTCAGATCATTCATCATCGCTGTTTGTCGTTAGGCCTGTTTGTGAATTGGGTATTGAGTGGATTGAGTCAGTATCTATTTCACACACTCACTGTGTCTCTTCTTCTGTATTAATCTGTTGTCACTTCAGATCTTAACTTTGCTGCTGATAATTAATGCTAACTTTGCTTGTGTTGTGTCTGTTCTTCTTCCCTTCCTTCTCTTTCCCTGCTTTTCTCCCTTCACTTCTTTCTCCTAACACTGGACTGCTGTCTCATCATCAGTTTGGCTTCAAGGTTAGTGCACTTGCTCTCTTTTCTATCCTCACCCTGTGTTCTTCAGTGTACTCTTCAACTGCACATCTGTTACTGTCAAATGAAACCTGAATGTGAATGAAAATCCTCGGCCAGCCATAAGGGCTCGGTCAGCCTCAGCACTCTTGGGTCACTGAAACGGAAGAGGCAGTCTTAGAACAGTGTCAGGTGCCGCTGAAGGCGCTCATTGGGGATCACAGAACAAATTGGCAACTGTGGGTTTAATAGAATGCATTTAAGTGCCGTCATGCCCTTGGGTACGGCACTTAACCCCAATTTGCTCTTGTTACCCACTCGTCTTTGCCTTTGACTTCGGCTTCAAACTTTTTCTTGGAAATGGGAAATTGGACTGACCTGCTTTCATCAAGGGTTTAGAGAAGGGAAGCATAAAAAGTGAAAACGAGGGCTACAAACTAGGGCCTGACCGATATTGTTTGGATGGTAAAATCGGACGAGATAACAGGTTATGTGGGTTTAACCTGCGAAAACGGTGCTGATAAAACACTTTCTTTAACACTTTCTTTTACAGTACCCAGTTGTAGGTACTAACCAGGTGAAGATCAAACTTTAAATTACTGAGTAATCGTTATAGGTAATATGATGGTAAGTTCCAAGACAGTTGGAATAAATGACACTGAAAGGTCTAACAGATTTTAGATATTGTCTGAATAAGTGTGGAAATTACTGGGTAATTATTTTGTGTAATATTGTGGTGAACACCTAGACAATCTGACTAAATTGCAATGAAATAGCTTAGAAACTAGAGAGAAATAACAGGTTCTCATCATTAGCTGATAAAAGACTCCTCAACAGCAAGCACACTTAAATATGGCATTTTCTGCAGTTTCACAATTTGTGCACAAAACATGGATCTTTATTTATTTGTGAGTTTAACATATTGGGAAAAAATAAATGTACCATAACTTTAGTGAAGGCCACATTTTGTTTTTTTTCCACAGTTTGTTAAATTGATTAAATAAAGCTTAGTATTAACCATAATATTAACTTACAAAAAAAAAAATCGAACAGCACTGCTGTTTGAGAGCCACTCGTACCAGCGCAACACACACTAACGCCACAGCGTTAGTCAGTGTCACTGTGATCCAGCACCCAGGTGAAAGAACAGGGTGAAAGGGGGCTAACAAATAAATATATATATATATATATATATATATATATATATATATATATATATATATATATGTATGTATGTGTGTGTGTGTGTGTGTGTGTGTGTATGTATATATATATATATATATATATATATATATATGTATGTATGTGTATATATATATGTGTGTACTTTGCTCAGTACAGTGCTGAGAATGGTCCACCCAAATTGTACCTGTTCTGCTCTGTGGGGTCCTGAACATTGAAGAACAGGGTCAAATGGGGGCTTCCAAACGTGTGTGTGTGTATATATATGTATATATATATGCACACACACACACACACACACACACACTTATATGGCTGATTGGTGTATGTGTCATTAGCATCTGAGTTAACTTTCAAAGTCTGTAGGTTTTCTATGTTGGCGGAAGAAGCTGTGCTGCAGCTTCAATGCAGAGCGTGTTGAAGTCAGACTAGAGACAGATAGGGCTTCAGTCAGAGTGAACAAGTAACTCCTTCCACAAACTGTAATTGGAGTGCAAAGAATTCTAATCAGCCATTTCTCATGCCTTGCCTTGGCTGCCAGCCTGATAGGCTTCCCTCCCCACCCGGATCGCAACACTCGGCTCACTGTTGTTTATCACGCTTATTACTTTTCATCTCTTTCTGCACTTCAGTTCGGAGAGGAGGCTTGTCAGCTTTTTTTCTTTTTTCTCTGCTGGTGATCCCGAAGAAAACAAACATAATGTAACAGGGATGTTTGACAAGACCGTCATTCATCCTATCTTTTTTCAGGAAAGGCAACTCAAAAGAAACATAACGAACAGGCCGATTTGATATCTTTCCCTACATCAAGGCGCGTCATCATGAAAAGGAATTCATGACGCTCTGAAATTAATTTCCCCCAATGTTGCGTTGCCTCTGAGCGCTGGGAGCTCTTGAATTAGTCTACATATGGCTGACAGTGAAGGTGTGTGCAAGTGTCTGCTGTATGAGTACAACTCACACTTTCTATTTCTCTCTCACACAGAGTCTTGTTTTTATGCAGTGTCAGGGCGTATTGGTATAGTACTGTGCAAAAGTCAGAGACCCCCCCTTCACTTATTTAATTTCCAGTTAAAGCCCCTTTAAAAAACAAAATATTAATTGTTAGCATCAGGAAAAAGACAAACATATTTTTAACAGAAAATTACATAGAAGCCTCAGCAGTTAAATTCAGTGTAGGTTTTTTATTTTCTATACAGCTTCTGCTTCAGGTTCTTCAAAGAAATCTGCAGTGATGTTTTACCACATCTTCAAAGTTCAGTCTTTGAAGTTTGTTGCCTTTTCTGCTTTCTATGATCCAAGTAATCCCAAACACATTCAGTGATGTTAAGGTCTGGACTCTGGGGTGGTCAGTCCATTGTTCAGCTTCTTTGTTTGGTGTGTCCGTCTCCTTTTCTCAGTGAGGTTCTTCTTGACAGCTACACATCCTTTCAGACCCGTAGCGCTGAGTCGTCTTCTCACAGTGGAAGGATGGACAGAAACACCTGTGGATGTTTTCAGATCTGAAGCAGCTTGATTTTCTCCTCTCTCTCAAAGATGAAAGCTTTAAGTGCTGTTTATCTGATTGGGGGACAGTTTTGGTGGTCTACCAGGTCTTCAAGGTGGTTGTTAGGAGCCCCATTTTCTCTGTAGCTTTTAAATATTTAATGTTTTGACTAGAAATTAAATAAATGAAAGCTAGTGATTTCTGCACAGTACTGTGTGTTTCCCATATGGATTATATGTAAGGATCTAGAATTTTCTTACCCTTACAAAGTCAGCACCATTGTGTTGACACTGAGCTTTTTCTCTCTCTCTCTCTCTCTCTCTCTCTTGTGCTTGATCAAGATCTTTCCCTCTTCCACTTGTTTAAAGATTCAAGGCTGATGAGAACAATAGATTCATGCATATGTTTGCATCCTTAATTCAACATGCATCTAGTCTCAGACTGGTTGTTACCATCTAATACAAATTGATATTCTGTAGAAGATCCATTCAAATGGTTGATTTTTATTATAAGGATCATTTTCCACCAAAAAGCAGCATGATAGAAGAACACATTGCACTATTTGAGGATCAGTGACTGTAGGGTATAGCAAACGGTTTTGTGCTGGGCAATATTTTATAATTTGGCTTTTTCTTTTTTGTAAGGCTTTGTATGGAATATACGCAATAATATTAGTGACAGTGCAGAGTGTTTTTGCTAAATGATGACTTCAGGGTTATAATGTTCAACGATATGCTGATTTACCATTGTATGCAGCCCAACCAGGATCATCAAAGACGGTGCAAGAGCCAAATTGAGACTAACTGATGCAATCTTCACAGTTTCTACTGCAGCTACAGAGCCAAAAATACTGCTGAGGTATCTGGCAAGTACTGAGAACATTTATAGTACACCTAATAAAACAGAGGAGTGACTTACAAAAACAATAATGCTGCGCTGGTTAGGCAAATTGATTTATATATTATTACCAGTTTTATTAAGGAAAATGACTATATATGTTTTAGGGGTAAGTCAGTGTTCACAATGGATGGGTCCCCTGGCAGAAGTGAAATGCTATAAATGGCCCCCAAGCTAAATGAGTTTGAAACCTCTGCTTTATATGCCTTCTTTTTATTTTACATTTCCACCGTGACTTATTTTTTATAATCGTAGTGTAATTCTTAGATGTTCAGAATAAACAGCTAACAGCAAAATCCTGTAATAATGGCGGTTAAGTGGTAATAAGGTGAAAATAAGGTCAAATATCCTGTATGGAGAACACACTTCTGCTCATTTTGATTTAGCAATTACTGTTTATTTGCATATTTATATATGGAGAAAATAAATAAATAAACATATATATATATATATATATATATATATATATATATATATATATATATATATATATATATATATATATATATATATATATATATATATATATAAAATAATGTGTGTTTGTTTATGCAACAGTTAGTTCTGGCCACGTAAGCTGATTGGTTGAGAGGTGTTCTAACTGTGCTGTTATTTTGCCATAACATCACAGGTTTTTCACAAATGCTGTATCACTCCACTGAGATGCTGTTACTAAGCAACGACTTTGAGAACTGTAGGAGACGCTCAAGACATTTGAACGTTTTTACTTCTTACTTCTTCTTACACAAACAGAAAATGGACGCTTTTAAGATCACATTTGACCGACAGCCGAATTGGTCAGATTTTGAAGATGAGACTACACTAAATTCCCAGACTGTCAGTTGGTCTGTGTGGAGCTGGAGAACGAACTGCCGGCTGTGCAGCGAGTGAGCGGAGCTCGTTACTCTGACGTAGCAACAAGCTGCTCGTTAAGGAACTATAATTTGGCGGAAGGAACTGCGAACATTAAAATATATTAAACGCCACTTTCACGGCCCAGTTTATTAATTTATTACTTTATTTATATAACTGTTGTATAAAAGCAATAGAACACTCGAGGAGTGTGTTATTGCGAAAATCAAATCACAGCCGTGTTGTTATTCACAATAACACACTCCCTCTTCTGTTCTGTTGCTTAAATATATATATAAATTATGGCCTTTGCAAAAGTTATGACATATTTCACATTTGATGTTTTTCCCAACAAGTTAAACTCAGTAAATAAATAGAAACTCTGCATTAAAATTTGCAGAAAAATGCCATTTTTAGGTGTGTTCTCTGTGGAGGATGTGTTTGTTTTCACAAGCGAAATGTGCCATTAGACCAGAGGTGTTCACACTTTTGCACATGACTGTGTTTATATATAGACCCCCCCTCCTCTCTCCCCCTCCCCCTCTCTCTCTTTATCTTTCCCTCTCACCCCATATTGACAACAAAGAAT